CTGGAGCACAATGCTGGTGGATCGATAGCAAGACATAAGGAGAGATTGGTAGCTCAAGATTTTCTTAAGAAAATGGGAGTTGACTACTTTAAAGTATACACACCAATAGTAAGATTAAAGATTATTCGACTATTAGTCGCCTTGCCATGTCAGCAAGGTTGGTCGACATTTCACTTAGATGTAAAATCACCATTTTTGAATGGTCCCTTAGAAGAAGAAGTCTATGTTAACCTCCTCGGTTTGTGATACACGAGGAAGCCAAGAAAGTGTATAAGTTGAACAAAGTGTTATATGGCCTCAAGCAAACACCTAGGGCATGAAACAAGAAAATCGACTCATACTTAGTCGAATTGGGATTCGTCAAATGTAAATTTGAGTATGGGGTCTATGTTTAGGTTATGACATAAGATATAAAAATCATCTACTTATATGTCGATGACTTGTTAGTAATTAGAAATAGCTTGGAGAACTTGATGAAGTTCAAAGAGCTAATGAAGAAGGAATTTGAAATATCACATATGGGGATCTTGTTTTATTTCCTAGACATGGGATTTCAAATACCAAAGCAAGGTATGGTGCTACATCAATGAAAGTATATCTTTGAGTATCTCTTAATGTATCGACTGGCGAAGTAGGGTATGGTACTTAAAAGGATCGATAAACCATAAAATTCTATTTCGACGAGACTCTAAAAGCAAAGAAGTTATGGTTACTTTCTATTCAGATCTTCATTGGTGTGCAAATAAGGAAGATTGAAGAAGTACAACAGGTTATTTCTTTCAAGTATTTGGTGCCCCAATCTCATGGTGCTCAAGAAAGTAGCTTGTAGGGGCATTGTCATCGGAGAGGACGAATATATAGTAGGATCCTATGCTGGCTGTCAAGCAATTTAGATAAGATATATGCTTGAAGAGATTGAGGTTGAAGTGAAGAAACCTCTGGTGTTGCAGATCGACAACAAGTCAACCATAAACTTTGCGAAGAATCCAGTTTTGCATGGAAGGAATAAGTAGATTGAGGTGAGATGTCACGTCTTAAGGGAGAAGGTAAATCGAGGTGAACTTGAAGTGAGGCATTGCTCAAGTGAAGCACAGTTGGCCGACGTTTTCACTAAAGGATTGAAGATCGATAGATTCCTGAATTTGAAAAAGAAATTAGGAATAATCCAGATTGACTAGGATTAGCGTTTGTTTGACAACTTGGATTATAGGGGGTATGTTGAGATATAAGTAATATAATCCATGTTGTGTGTGGCCCAAGCCAAAAGAAAATTAGGGTTTAGGGTTTGTTATATTTGTTACTTAGTAGTCAAGTTACTTAGGTGTATATAAATAGATACTTTGTAATTCAGTTCTAAAAAACACAATCATATTTCAATAATATCAATCCTTATTTTCTTATTCTCTCTCTTTTTCTCCTTACTAAAAGCATCTCACGCACTAACACATTTCATCTACCTAGCATGAATTTGATGGTTTACATCTCTTTATATTTCTCCATATTTTTGTACTACGGACCCAAGATATTAAAATCGCGTGACTTGTGCGATGATATGATATCTAAATTTCACCTATAGGTTAGAAACACTTATCTTTTGATGAATTTACATTCCATATACTTTGTCTTACTTCTGCTTAGGCAAAAGTCATGTGTTTCTAGGGCTTATCTTAAGTCTCAAACCTCTCATTTAAGTATTCCTCTAACTTCCGAGTAGGATTATATCATGTGAAAAAAACATACTTCTCAGTTCCAACTCATGAATGTGTTCCACGAGATCATTCAAAATTAAAGTGAAAACACTACTACAAAAAGTAGATTTCAAAACGAAATTTCTCTTTGACCAAAGTATTCACCATGGTAAAATCTATTAATTTGACACATTTCTTTAATTTTCATTTTTAAGTCACTTTTCATCACGGTCAAAGTTTTCAACCATCGTAAAATGTGGTGTTTGGTCATGGATTTGAATCTCAACACCATTTTCTATTTATTTTAAGCCACTTTTTACCACGGTTGGAATTCCAACTATGGTGAAAAGTGGAGTTTGGGCAAGAGTTTGAATCTCAGTACCAACAATTTTTTTAAGCCACTTTTAACCATGGTTGAAATTCCAACTGTGGTTAAAAGTGGTGTATGATCATGAGTTCAAATCTCAACACCAGCATTTTTGTTTTTTTATTTATTTTAAGCCACTTTTCACCATGGTAGAAATTTCAACCGTGATGAAAAGTGTCGCCTTCCTATTTTTTTAATTAAAAATAAATTACATTTCCAAGATATATAACGTTCCATGTTCATTCACTTTTACCCTAGACGAACTTATATGAACTCCATCTACATTCATCTTCAATTTACGAATATCTATTTATCAACTAAACCAAACTCGAAAACATCATTTTTTTTTCCATTAACATATATGTCTTCCACTTTTTCTTATATCAGTTTCTTGAACCAAGATTTTGCCTTCTTCATCTTTAACACACTTTAGTTGATCCAAATCTCTTTTGTTTCTTTCATTTTCCTTTGTGAACCTATATATAGATTTTTCTCCCTTCTTGATTCCTAAATATTAGTATACGGTGTCCAACATTTGGGTTCTTAATTCACTCACCATCTTCTTAGTCTCTTAGTTTTCTTAAACTTTTCCAAATCTTCGACATTTTTACACATAGACCATTCTTTAAAACAATAATTTTTTCTTTAACTTTATTTTGAACAGTTTTTTTCAACCACCACGATTATATACCCCTAGGTCCAAAATCTCTTATTTTCCCATTGTCTCTTAATGTACTATTCTAATCTCTTGGATCATCTTGTTCCACATATCATGTGTGCTTTCTATAGCAGTTTGAACTTCTCGTTCTGTTAAATATGATTGGATCTCATTCCCAAAAGTTAGCTCAAAGGGTGAGGTTGCTCTCACATATTTATACAATCAAGAACCTAAGAACCTAAACAATGTGGGACTTCAAATAAACTTCAACATCATAATACCAACTTTAACATCCACCCTCACACTTAGCATGAACCTGAGTAAAATGTCCACATTGCAATCTCTTACCTGACTCTGATACCATGTTAAATATGATTAGATCTCATCCCTAAAAGCTAACTTAAAGGATGAGGTTTCTCTCACATATTTATACAATTAAGAATCTGTGAACCTAAGTAATGTGGAACTTCAAATAAACTCCAACATCATAACAACCAATTTCAAAACCCAATATAACTCTCTTATTTTTCACTCTTCAAATGTCATCACTTAATTTGCGGAGTTTTCAGGTAACTTATTATCTTCGCTCTACTTTTTACTCTTACATCCATAATTGATACTCCATGTTGGATAGTCAACCTTTCTCCTGGTATGACTTTACAATTCAAATAAATCTTCATATTTGACTTTCTAATAAGAAAGAAATTTAATTTACTAACAACGTGTTACACCATTCTTATATATAATAAGATGTTCATCGCTTTTTCTTAAAGTAGATATTAATTATAACAAGACCAAAAAAACGACAAAAATTCCATGATAAATTTACATCCATATTTACCTTTCCAAAACCATATCTCATGTATAATCTTAAAACCTCTTACTATGCCCTCCGCATGTCCATTTAGATCCACTCTTAAAAAAACTTCCCTATTTAAAATATATCCTAAAATAAATCTTCCAAATCATGTATTGACTAGCATAGAAATGCTAACATAGACAAGATTTGATAATAGTATTAAAATTATTAAGAATTAATATTTATTTAAAAAAGTTTACTTTCCACACAAAAAATAATAATTGGCTGTTTGTTTATATTATAGTTGGTTGTAGACTAAAATATAAAATAAATAAGAACATGTTGCTAGAGATAAATTTTCTTTTTCTTTTCAAAATGTGTATGCTTAAGTGCATAGGTAATATAGTTCTTAGATTTTATTTAACTTTCAAAAAAATTCTTATATTAAAAGTAAACAAATTAGTACCAAATAATTTTATAAATAGTATTTTTTTTTTAAAATATAATTTATTTGTGAGTTAATAAAATTATAAGTCCTAGCTTGTTAGGTTAAATATCATCAATCGAGTTACAATTTAAAACTTTCTAATTGAGTGTGTTAGTATTATCACTTCATCTGTCAGAAGAAAAAAACTCTAAAAATACAATCAGAATGATAATTTTATTATTAAGTTTGACGTCTCTTTTAGTTTTTATTTTAGTGCACGTTTTTTGTTATTCTAATTCAAGTCACATTTTTGCGGTTGTTACTACATACATTTTTCTCTTTGAGATTGTAGTTATTTTGTTTTATTTTATTTTATTTGGTTTAGTCTTTATAACTTAAAAAGAGTTAATAAAACCACATTAAATTACAAAATAATACAATAACACATTAAGTTACAAAATAATATAATAACAATTTAGTTTAAAAAATAAATAGGACTTAGATTAATAAAACCACATTAACTTACAAAATAATATAAATACAATTCAGTTTAAGTAAAACTTTTACTCAAAATAACTAACTTTTTAAAACAAATATCTAAGCTAATCTACTTTTCTTTCTATTTTTCAAACTAACCCATTTTTAAAAAAATAAAAATTTAATAAATAGAAATCGTCAATTCAATTGGCGACAATGTAAAAACACATAAGAGCAGTCGCAAATTCGGTTGGCGACAGTGTACATTCTCTCTCTTCTGCGTTTGTACATTGTCGCCAATTAAATTGACGACTACTCTTATATGTTTTTACATTGTCGCCAATTGGATTGACCACCCCTCTTTATTAAATTTTTTATTTTAAAATGAGTTAGTTTAAAAAATAGGTGAGTTTGAATATTTATTTTAAAAAATAGTTATTTGAGTAAAATTCTCACATAGATTTCTATTACCATTTTTATTTTGTTTTTGCTTTGTATGTTAAGAGTGATAATTGACAACCCTGCTTTGTTGTTTTTCTAGTAAGTTGTTTGTAGCATTGATTTACATAACATATTTGATACAGGTTTGTCTACAAGTGCCAAATACTGCATATCAATAGGACTTGGAATACCAGGACTTGTCAGTCTATTTATAATTTTCGGTTTTATCTGTCGTAAAATGAGAACAACCCCACCTCATAATCAAAGTTCAAATCATCCTACAATAACAGTTTCCTTACAACCACTCCCTTCTTTTGTAACTGGCCTTGATGGTGCCACAATTGAAAAGTATCCCAAAATTCTTATTGGAGAGAGTGGACGTTTATTGAAGCCTAATGATAATACTTGCTCAATTTGCTTATCTGAATATGAACCTAAAGAGACATTGAGAAGCATTCCTGAATGTAATCATTATTTTCATGCTGCTTGTATTGACGAGTGGCTCAAAATGAATGGCACTTGCCCTATATGTAGGAATTCACCAGAAGTATATTCTTCTATTTCTCCTTATTTTTCTTCATTTTTGTTGTCACCAAACTCAACATCGTTGACATCTTCATGATAAATTGGTCATACTTTAAGTCATATATATTTGGCCTAATTGTATAGTGAGAATAGAGTCATTATATGTGTTACACCACAATGAACTTTTTGTTTATGTTTCAAAGATAATATACAAGAATGTATTATTTATCTTTTTTTAGTCTTAATTCTTTGGTTCTTAGGGAAAATAATCACTATTGAGTTTATCCAATAACTATAGATTTAGATGAAATTGTAACCATTATGGATCAAACTCAAATTCGTCGCTTTAACTTTTCATAAATACATTGTATTACACATTTGAGTGTAAATACTTGATTATGATGTTATTGATTTAATATATGAACATAATTGTTCGATGTGACTCATAGTTATTGAAGAAAGACAGAGATCTGAGTTGAGTGAGGCTTCATCTGCCATCGCCCTTGTGTGTAGCGTAAACGTGCGTTAGGTTGATTTGTTGTGGAACACAATCAATATGACTCAAAGTATACTTGTAATATTGTCTGTGATATTATTTATATATCATATGTAACACTTAAGTTTTAATTTATTCAAATAATAATAAGAAACTGCATATGTTCTTTAGTCGTAGATGTAGGCACACTCAATCAAATTGTGTAAACAAATATTGTGTCTTTGTTTGAGAATTACTTTTTGATTTATTCTTTTGTTATTAGTTGTTGTTCTAACAAATGGTATCCAATGAAGATTAATGTTGGTACAAAATTCGTGGTGACAAGGTTTGACGGAATAGACAATTTCAAATTATGGCAAAGAAGGGGTATCATATATGGATGTCAACGGGGTAGAGAATGTGTGGAGAATACTTCCTTGCTTCTCGCCATTCTCTCAATGTTTCGAACAAAACTATGACACTAGTATTTCGTTATTTTTTTTCTTTTAAAAAACATATACTTTTCATCTTACTTTCTTTAAAAATAAAAACACATCTTGTATCAGTAACAAAAAAAACAAAAAAAAACACTTGCAGTTACAAAAACATAAGAACTAATTTACTAATTTAATGAAAAACATGTTACTAATTGAATTATAGTGAAGTTGAAGAGTTATTACCATAAAAATAATGAACAAAAGAGAGTGGTTGTTGTGATGATGATGAGAGTATAGGAGATGAGGAATGGAGGAGACAGAGATAATTGAGAAAAGAAGAAAAGGAGACAGTGTGTACACTATATGTAATGGGTGTACTTTTGTAGGGTTGGGTACTTGGGTAGTGAAACAATACATTATAGAATAAAATAAAATAAAATAAATAAAGTGATTCATTGATAACTCTTCATTTTCTAATATATTAATTATTTTTGTATAAAGAACATGCAAAATTATATAATTATATATTATATATAAAAGTTAATTAATATGGCCGGGATCGGGGAATCCGAAGGGTGGGGGTACTTTCGCGATCCCTGCCCCGAAATGTCATAGGGGAACTTTTCCCTCCATCCCCGTCCCCACGAGGGAAAAAATCTCCGACTTTGGAGATCCACAGAAATAATCCCCACGGAGATCCCCATTAACATATGCAAATTGAAATCTCTAGTATCATATGATGGGCTTATCATCTCTGGAGGTGGTTTGGGATAAATTAGAGAATTAATATATGTTAAAGTCATAGATGAAAAAACTGATCACAAAGCATCGACTATATCGTTTGAAGATGTAGAAAAAAAATCTAATTTACAACATGGCAATACATTTAACAACATAATCACTAATATTGCGAGGCCAAGGGTAAAGGTTGACGACGAATACAAGACTATTATCCTATTGTGCTTGTTATCGTCTTTTTATGACCACTTGGTGGACACTCTTAGCTACGGGAAAAACATTATTGGTGTAAGTCCAATAGGCCAATAATTTTATTGAAAATTGTATCAAATTATATATTTATAATAAGACATCTCTTTATTATGTTTGTTTATCCAACTAATAAAATCCCTAATAGCTAGTCTGTTTGATGAAATATTAAATGTGACTTAATTATGATATTATTAAGATATTTGTAGTTAAACTTTATCGTGAAGTGAGATAACATTAAAGCATTAATACTATTATGTTGATATATTGATGATCGCATCTTACGGATAATGGATAAAGAGTTATCAAGTATTCACATAAGTATAGACATTATGAGTAATATTTATATACTAATGACCATCAATGAGAATATTATATATAATGTTATACAAGTGTCATAAGTTATTCTCATGGTGATAGTGGTGTATACCACCGTTCAACCTAAAACCAATATGAATCCTATGTGGAGTCGAGTACTTTATTTTTATTCAAATATTATTCGTAATATGATGACCATAAATGTGATTGATGAATACTCTACAAATCATGTTGATGGACATGAGTGACATAGAGGAAATTTTCCCATCATGTGTAACATGATATATGTCTAATGGGTCAATATTGAACTGGAGAAGGATGATGCAATCTATGTCTTGTGTTAAATATATACATAAGAGCAAAAGGGTAATTGTACATATGATTATTATCACAAAAAGATTTTGTTAGATCGTCTACCATTTTCGTAACTTAGGTAGTAGGAATTTATTGCTAAATATTGCTCACTCTTCATTATATTAAATGTGTAATTTAATATGATTTCCAATGTTACAAAATTTGACAGGGTCACACACTTAAGGACAAGTTAATGAGAGATAAAATAAATAAGTGAAGTTTATTCAATTGTGCAGTCTTTCAATGCACTAGCGTTATTTAATGAAACATGTAGTACATTGTAAGGTACAATGTACTTAAGTGAAATACAAAACACTGTAAGGCACAATATAATTAAATGGAATATGAAATATCGTAAGATACAATATACTTATGTGAAATACATAACACTTTAAGGTACACTATACTTAAGTGAAATACATAACACTGTAAGGTACTGTCATACTCCAAATTTGTCTTACATGTATATTACTTTCATCTGTAGTTCCATCCACTAACCATTATTAAAAAAATCCAAAAATATGTTGCTTCCACTTTCATTTTTATTAAGTCCAAGTTTCATTTGAAGATATCAAGTCAGGTGTGTGTAGGCAGTATTGGTTGAGGTTCGGTGATTTTGACCTAATTTGTTAGTCAGACAAGGGTTTATTTTAAGATCAAGGGCAGGGTATGCGTGACTTGAGTGGTGTGTCTATGAAGTTTCAGTTAAGGTTACTGTGTAAATTCAAGTAATCTATGTATGGGTCAAGTTGTCAGGTTGTGGCAAGTTATCAGATGTTTATAGTGAAGAACCATCAGAGGTTAGCTCATTTTTAATCAGGGTTTTGGACAAAGCAGTTCACATCTCAAGTCATTATCTTCTGATTTCAAGGCATATTGTTGACTGAGCATTTGGTTCATGGTGAAAGATTTAGTTTATCAATGCAAGAGACAAAATTCAAGATTGATTTAAGATTGATTCATGGTTGTTTATTTCTCAAGATTGATTATAAGGCATGTTAGATGCAATTTGATTACAATTGGTGTTCTTTGTTCATCATCATTCAAGTCAAGTGAAAATTTAAAAGCAAATTCAAAGGCATTGTTCCAGTCACAAACTAATTTCAAAGTCCAAAAATACAAGTTGCAAATACAATTTCTAAGCATCCCAGGCCCCCAAATTCAAACAACCTCACAAAGTCCATTATTTTATATAGAATTTATTCATGGGATTGAATAAAGAGAGAAAGGAAACTTTACCAAAAATCAAGCTCATGAAAAGTTTCTACACAAAAGAAAATCTATCCATACAAAAATCCATTCATAACAACAAGAGGCCATGGGTTACAAAAAAGCCATATCATAATAAAAGTCCATTTGAATCTATGTAGGCCTATGGATCCATTACCAAAGAAAAATCAAGAAAAAGATCATAAAGAAGAATGTGACTTCAAAGCAAAAAAATCAAGTTACACAAAATTTGCACAAAAAGTATGGATATCATCTAAAGCCCATGTTTCAATGTTCATTTTTAAAAAATTATACTACAAGGATGAGTGTGATCCTACAGTATACCACAACCCACCCTTTATGCACATATCACCTCCATCGAGTCTTGCATTCCTTGAAACTTCGAATGAATGGCTCTTGAAGCACACGCCTTGGGTTGTTTTTCATTTAATCTTTCGACTTTAAAACACTCAGCCTTTCTCAAAACCTTTTTAATAAACTCACGAAGGAAATGGATTTTTGGAGTCTCGCATTCCTTGAACCCTTGAATGACTGCTCTTGAGGCGCACGCCTTGGGTTGTTTGTCATTCAATCTTTCGTTTCCAATCTAACCAACCGTAGTTCTGCAAACTACGAACGCTCTAATTCTTCATTCTCGTTCAAATGAAGATACGTAGGCACAAGGGCCTAATCCTTGGTGAGATACCTTTTTCTATTTTACCCATCTACCTTTTGTTTCTTCCACCTTTTCTTATCCAAAACTTTTTCCCGTAGTCTGAAATACGAATGCTATGATTTTTCATTCTCGTTCGAATGAAAATACATAGGCACAAGGATCCCAATCCTTGGCGAGCACCCTAATAAAAAACCACTCATTTTCCCTTAGCAATCGAGACCTCTTTTCCTTTACCTTTTCACATTAATCGCTTAGAAGAAAACAAGAAAACTTAGCTAAAGCTCATCACAAATCGAACTGAGAGGCTCCCGTTAAGTATAACGGACGTGAGGGGTACTAATACCTTCCCTTTACGTAATCGAATTCCGAACCTAGAATGTGGTTGCGATGACCATGTTCTTATCTTTTAAAAGGTTTTCTCTATGTTTTCCTATTCCTTAATTGGAATAAATAAAGTTTGGTGGTGACTTTGTTCGAACCAATCTTCCGCGCCTTTTGCGCGAAGGTCGTGTCATCTTTCGAGGTGCGACAAGTACGACACACTTAAGGGAAACATGATATAATGTAAGGTACAATGTGCTTAAGTAGGCTTGTTCAAATTGCAACGCACACAAGTTTTTATATAAATAGAAATCTTCTGC